TTTTTTAAAATTAAACACTATCTAAAGATTTGCATCGAAGCGTTTATTTTTGATAGTGATTTTAATCACTGTCAGATATCATTATACTTGATCCAACTATACCACGTCACAACTGTGCCGCGACCCCCCTGTGCTGGGTTTTTTTTAATATAAATATCATAGGTATTTGCTTTTCATATAGAAAAATTTTTTGGAAAATCTGACCCATAAAATTAAAAAAGTAACTTTTGCACAAAAAGTTATGTTTTTTAACTTAATTTTTGAAAATGTTTTTATTAGTTTTAAAAATTTTTATTCATAATTTTTTTTAGTTATGTAAACAAGTAAAAATATTAGTTTCAAATTAAAATATACATTTCATTCAATTAACAAAAAAAAAATTATAATACACCATGAAAACTAAGCATTTAATTAAAAAAAGTGTAATTTAAAATCTTTCACTCATAATATTTAATGATTATTTATATTATAATAGAAAAAGGAAAGAAATCTGCAACTGAAGTAGCAGAATTATTGGACTTTCTTGAAAAAGGTAACATTTTTCAATTATACATGTTTATAAGTTTTAAGATTGAAATGAAACATGATAATTATCTATAATTAAACCCTTTTCCTTACTTACCGAACACCACATAGATGTCTCACTGCGTATTACTGTGATGATGTCGCGTCACCATTAGTGTATAAAATATTATAAAATAAAACACTGAAAGCGCATTCGCTTCTTATGAATTGACAATAAAACATATATCGTGGTCAGTCTACTCCAATACTTGGCTTTATGCTTTGTGTCATTCATCCGTTTCAGAACTCAGTTTCGCTGTCTGGCTTACTGTATATTGTCAAGTCTTTATTCATTCCTTTTGACACCTTTACCTACTCTCATCTTCTACATATCAGAATACTTGCGTCTTGCACTTCGTCCGCACCTCATACCATAGGTGTTACTCCTATTTTCTTTCTATGACAACAACCTTATGATAGAGACTGTGTTATATTCTTAATTTGATATTTTTCTTAATATTACGTCATCTAAAAATAAAAAAGTTAATTGATTATAGAAAAGAGTCTATAAGTCAAAATTTATTATTTTAATTTTTTTGAGCTAGTAGTTATAAAACATTAATATTTCACTTAAATTACAAAATACTATATTAAAGGCCATAAAACTAAATTTTCGTCAGTTTAATGTCGAGGAAATAACAAAACTCTAAAAAATGAAAATAATCCAAAAGTACTTTTTCATTATAAAAAAATTAGATTATATTATATTTTTCTACAATCTAAGTACTTTTGTCTTGCACTTCATTTGCACCTTATACCTAGATGTTACCCTTATTCTCTTTCTATAACAACATCCACAGTTAATCACACGTATGTGAATATCTAAGCAAAGTCATTATTTTATTAATCATCCTCATCTTCCTACTCTCATCCTCACCAATCTTCTATTAGTGGTTGGTTTTGTATATCTTATAAAGTACTTGAGATATTTGGATGCAATTTTTTTAACGGGCAAGACGTTATTTTTAAGATTTTTAAAATTGAAGGTTATTTAAATATTATAATAATTAAAATTTTTGAAATTAAGTTAATTAACTTCTTCATTCTTATCAGTTTTGTACAATAAATTAGTTCTAGTAATTTATAATCCTGCTATTAACAATTGTTTACCTATTTATACAACTTAAAACTTATTCACCATCATTCCCTTAAAAATAATTATAATTTCTATAAGTTACGATAAAATTACAAGAAAAATAACTGATTTGTTGAAAACAATTTTTTTTATTTTTAAAATTTATATTTAGTTTAATTATCTATCTAAATATTTTTCTATTCCAGCATTAAAGGACGAAAATTTATTTGATGAAGAGATTAAAGTAACAGGATTAATATCTGATAACTCATCTGGTCCATCTGAGCCCAGCAATAAAAAATTAAAAATATAGTAAAGTATTAGATTTTTTATTAAATATTAATTCATATTTATAAAATCACAAAAATAGTTTAGAAATTATTAACTGCAAGACAAATCGGCAAAATTTACAATCTTTATTTTTATAATTTTACAGGAAAACCAATAAAAAGGATGCGTTTCAAGATATAAACAACTAATTTACAAACATAAATTTATTTTTTAGCATTAAAAATAAAAATATTTGCACCAAAATTAAAATATGTAATAACATAATATTTTATAAAAATATAATTTTATTGATTTCCAATTTTATTCTCATTTATTTCTTTATTATATGTTGATTATTTAAAAAAATAATTATTTAATTTTCCATAATTTTTTTATAAAAACATATTGATTAATGTTGATTTTTATTTTTATGAATAACGAAAATTGTTATGAAATATTTACCTTATTATTATTATAACTATAATTAAATCTAAAATCAAAATTATAATTGATTATAATTATATAGTTAATCATTAAAAATCATCAAATATTTGAATATTCATATTCATTTAAATATATATTTTAAGCAATAAAATATCATACATTTAAATTTATATAAAGTTATCATAAATATATAGCAATGCTCTAGTAAATCATTGACTAAAAATTATATAATAATTCCATAAAATAATTTGTAATTATTGACACAAATAAATTTAATAAAGAAATAATAACAGTATAGCTAACACTTTTTTGTAGTTACACATTTGTAATAATTATATACAATTGACAAAATACACGTTTTGAGAATATATATTTTTCTTACTAACCATTTGTATTGTTAGCTTCGATGTGATGCTGAGATGGTATTAATTTTACCATTATGTGTATTTTTTGTCTGTTGCCACTTTTACACTGGACTGATATCTTTCAATAATACGTCAAAAGATCGCAAATGGTATCTAGTTGAAGGCATTGGCTTCGAAAATTGAAAAAATTTCCTTTTTTTCCTGAAAATGGCGCAAATTCCTTGAATAATTATGACTTTTAAAATCGGTAAATTTTGACATTTTTTTCACTTTTTTTTCTTAAAGCGCTATAACTTTTTGAAAAATAAACAAATCGACATAATTTTTTTTATATTACCATATATATTTCCCTTTCATTTGATATTATTTTTGGAATATCTGACATTTAACCTGTTCAAAGGGGGGATTCCAAATAGCAACTTTTTTTTACAAAAATTAACGTTTTCAATTTAATTTTTGAAAATGTTACGGAATTACTGCGTCCTTTAAATATATGTTAAATTAAAGCTTATGTTACGAGCTTTAAATTTAAAAAAAAATGTCCTAGAGACTTATCTTCTACGTACAAATAGCCGTAGTTAAAAAAATTTCTATTTTAGAATTAACATTTTTTTTTTTATTTATTTGAAAATACCTATACAAAGGGTTATTATAGTAATGAGTCCAGTGGCGTATTTACGGGGGGGGATATGACCCCCATATCCCCCCCTGGGAGGTTTTTTAAAATAATTTTTTTGATTATTGAATGAACGAAATTATGAAAATGAATGTTAAAATCAATATTGAAAAAAAAAAAAGTGAATTT